ATCCCATCGTAAGAAGTGGATACCTGTAATGATAATACATTTGCATTGTCTTTTCAACCTGTGATTTAAATCATAGAGGAGTTGATTTGGAAACCCTGTTTGAAGAAGAAACAGGTTCTTAACCAAAACAACCACTTCATCATCAAAATACTTACAACTTATTAATTCATCTAAAACCACTATCTTTTTATTTTCTACGTTTACACCTCTGTGCTATCATTGGCTTCTTTCTTCCACATATCACAACTCAAGCATGTTTAAGATATCCATGACTAATATGCCTCACTGCTAAATCACACAGTATCACGACACATGAGAGCAACTTATACTTTTCACAAAGGCAATTCACCATATTAAAATGTATATAAATTAGACTTATATGGGTTATCTTCATCAGGTTTTGCACTGCATGCTGTGCCTCTTATTTAATACACTGTATTTCAACTTTGTTTCAGTGGTCATGTCTGGGCCTCAGCTGTATTGAACTGTTAAACTCGATGACACAATTATCTTCTCAACAGTTTCCGTGTCATTGATCCAACAAAGGGAAATATTTCCATCTCTTGCTTTCCTTTTTATTATTTTAAATCTAACACACACTTTTCCCCATATTATTTTGTCTCTCTTATCATTACAAAGCACACCCGTTCATTATGAGTGAGCGGCTGGTTTACATAACGTTAAGGTTTATTTCCTGTCTGTTTGTCCGTGGAAGAGTGGTCATTAAATGTTAATGAGAATGACACTGATGCTATTTTCCAATAACATGTGTTCTTTACTGTACCGCCCTTCAATATTAAAAGTAATCCTAGCGATATAAGGGCCTGTCAACATCAGACATGCCCATAGTTTGATAGACTGGCAGGCAGAGCGAGAGATAGACTGTTAAACAGGCGGATACAGATGGGCAGTCAGACAGATGGACGAAGCAACAGAAAGGCACACAGGCAAGCTGGCTGTGTGTGGTCATTTGAGTGTAAAGACGCGCAGGCTGCGTTCACTGAGTGGCTGTCTGATTATAGAAGCTGGTTGACTGGTTGGACAGTGGACCAACTGGATAAACAGTAACGTAGTCTAAACCTGGCTCACTTATTTTGTATAAATGTCAGACAGCCGAAGGATCAGTCTCCTGGCCTGATTGGGAGGGCGAGCGAAAAGCAGGGGGAGAGGAAGGAGCGACAGACGGAGAAAGATGGAAACAGCTAGACGGGGATAAAGAATCATGTCAGTCCATCATTAGAGTGACAGCTAGACGATTACTGCTCATTACCTGAGTGACTAACACTGAACACTGCTTAACACCCCTAAGCAGGTTTCTGAGTCACATCATTGTGTGTGTGTGTGTGTGTGTGTGTGTGTGTGTGTGTGTGTGTGTGTGTGTGTGTGTGTGTGTGTGTGTGTGTGTGTGTGTGTGTGTGTGTGTGTGTGTGTGTGTGTGTGTGTGTGTGTGTGTGTGTGTGTGTGTGTGTGTGCATTTCAGGAATATTGCAATCCAACATCTTTTTTTGTTCCTGTACAATACTTAATTTAGGAGACATCAACTGGTTAAATATCCATCTATAATAGAGCTTGTTACAAGGCCCAGTTTTATCTCAACTCTTTTCAGTTGCAGTTATATTACTGACAGTGCATCCAGGTCTGTACCTCTTACATCACTAGAAGTCCTGCATACTGTACTTACGAGCCAGCTACCTTGCCAAATCTCTGTCCAGTGTCAACATTACCCTTGGCTGTAAGAAAGAGTGCCCTTGAAAGTTCATCAGCCCATGAAATTAAAAAATGACAGAGCAAAGCATGATCCCAATAATTAGTTAGACCCATTTCACTTTGTCCACATTTTATGTGTTGAGTGGTGAAATATTCATGTGAGAATGCAACCGCTGTCCCCTCTGGACCACCAATGTGATTTATTATAGCCCGTGCAATTCTCTGTGTGGTTGAGAAAAATAGAAGCTGCACCGAAAATGCAGCACTCAATCTGAAAAAGTAGACAAAGTCAGACAGCCAAAGAAATAAATGGCTATAACATGCAAACCATTGAATCATGAATTATATATATATATAATTATATATAAATAAACATGGTTTAAATATATGTGAAATAAGAACAAAACTATGTAAACTAACAACACGTAATGGCAGCAAAACATACATTTCTTGCCATAGCTCATGACAGTTTGCTTTATTTAGCAATTGCATGTTTTTTACACCTTAACCCTAACCTTGTATTTGTTTTACTGTGAGCAGGAAGCTAACAATAACTTAGCTAGCTGTATCGCAAGGTATTCATGCTCTAGCAACAAGATTTAACTTGCAACTTTTCCCAACACTTAAAAATCAAGCCTCACAAACAATCTAAATAAAACTAATGTTGTGCAATAAAGCCCTATGCCAAATGAGCAAATGTTTAGAAAAAAAGTAAAGTCTTTGTGAAACTGAAGGGGTAAATCTTTGTTTTTACAAACCCATTGTAATCATTACACCGTGACAAATAGACTAAAACATGCAGTTTTGAAGGATAATAAAATGTAAAAATTATGAGTTTCATCAGGTATTTCTTCAAATTACTGAAATTGTAGAGCTATTAGCATGCTGTGCCCTCATAGTCATATCCAGGGTTTAACATGTAATTAGCCTTCTCACAGTGACCTGGATCCTCTGTCTCAAAAACATTACAATTTTGAAATAACACGGCAGTAATGTTACAAATGAATTAAAGAATGGTGAGGTGCCAGACACTGCTGTGGCTGGGTACAATCACGTATTTACACCTATTACAGGCAATTCTTTCTCCTCCTTTTTGCTTCTTGTTTCTTTTTGTCTCGGCCCACCTCTCCGTTCTGTCCTTGCCTTTCATCTGTCTCCTCTCTTCCCTCCATCTCTCTCTCTCTGTTTTTTTGTTTTTCCTGTTCTCCCGTTCTTGTCTGTCCTCTGTGTCCTTGCTTTGTGGCCAGAGAATTTCTAATTATTCATTTTAACCATGCTCCGTTTCACTGTCCTCTGTGGTTACATTTGTCCCTCTTTTACTGTCTTTTTTGTCCATATATCTTTCCTTCTCTTTTCAAAAACCTTTTTGCCCTTTTAACACTTTTTCACCTTCATTTTCTCCTTTTTTTTGTCTCCCCAGCCCACCTCTCTGTTAACCTTGTAGCCTACTTCTAACGATGAAAACAAAATTAGTCATTGTTGTCACTGCCTTGATTACATTAGCACTTTCGTTTTGTTTTAATGTTTGCCCTCCTTTTCTCTTGATTTTTCCCTCTACTCTCGTTCCCTTTGTAGTGTCTATTCTCACCTTTCATATTGTCATACTGTTATGCATAGAGAACCTACGGAGAAATGGTTGTTTCCTGTGTGCTCCACTTCCTACTTGGCGCACCGGTAACTTTCTCGTTACCTGTTATCCCGAGTTTTTTTTCTTTTTCTTCATGTCCCTCTAGGGGCTCCGTAAGAACCAAAGATAATTGATTGTATCTAAACTTGTGTCCAATCGTTGCTTCTGATATGCATATATCAAGAGCTACTTAACTCTGCACTTCAGTTGACAATCTTTCATGGACACTCCAAGTAAGATTGTGTATATAAAGCTTATTAATTCTCCCTTCTTGAGCAGTGGTGGAATAAAATATTAGTATGGAAGTAGTCTTGCAACTCTCACCAGATTTGTCAGAGGTTTTATTGGTATTTTGGCCCTGAGCATATTCTCATTCCTTTTACCAAAAGCTTTTGGGTTAGGATTTGGGGAAGTCTTTTATTTTGGGCACCAACTTCCTCCCAACCCAGAGGGGGAAATCTATATCCAGAAAACCACCATGACCTCAGACTTGGCGGTGGTAATCCTCACACAGTACTAACAATTTCCCATCATCCACAAACTAACCCAGTGTGTACCGGAGGACTTTTTTTTAAAGCAGAGAGAACTACATATTCATTTTGGCTACTAGAAATGCTGCCCTACACTCACAAACACAACATACAAACATGGTTGCTGTTGTTTTATTGCATCTATTCAAAAATAATAATGATGTTGTCCATGCAATTATGTTCATTTGGGGCACAGTAGAAAGGGAATCAAACCCTAGATTTGAAAGAACAAATACTTTGTAGATTGCTTGGACAAAGTTTTTCCAACCTGGAACATGCAGAGCTTTCTCAAGACCTAACTTTTGCTTGGAGGAATAAGTTGAGACCAGCAAATGCTGAGGATAATTCTGTTTAGGCTCAATCCTTTAAAGAGAAGCACTGTTTATGATTTTTAGTTATTGAGGATAACTTCTAACAAACGTCTAGTCACGACCGTATGCATAGCAGATATTAGTTCCAGCAATGTGTCATTTGTCCTTTGTATTATAAACGCTTTCATCAACATTATTTCTGTTTCATTATTTAAGCAATTCATTTCACTATTCATCTCATTGAAATTCAGCTCTTTCAGCTTTCTGTTATTTCAACCATTCCTATTTTCCTCCACATTGTTCATCATTTAATAAAATAAAGGGTTATATTATAAACTCTCTCTTCAATCAAAAGCTCACCTGTTTCAAAGAAAACACAACGTTTCCTATTATATTACAGTTGTAATTGTTCTGTATAACGGAGTGAATGCACTCACAGTATGGTTTGTTATAATACATAGTGAACCATGTGAGCTGTAGCTCAGAGATGCATCATCAAGTGCTTTTGTTAGAGAAATAGAAAATCACCTCTGTCACTCTTTTGTTTCGAAGAAAAAGACAGCAGGAAGCTCAGGGGTAGCAGGGAGTCAGGAAAACACATAAGATAAGTTCTTGGAGAAACCTAATCTGAGGCCAGCAGGGATCTTTATGGCTTCAGGGCTGTGGGTCTTAACCACAACATCAACACTCAACTCAATTGTATTGTATTGCCATATATGTTTGTTTTGCCACGTTTCATGTTTGATGTTGCCTTATTGTTTGCTTTCAGAAGTCATCTGTCAACTGTCTTGCTGTGTTTCATACACATTTCTCTCTGTTTTTCAGGTTGTCAGGATTCATGCTGCCCTCCCCGATAGTCAGCAGTGGATCTATATTGGCCTTGTGGTTTACCACAGACTTTGCCGTCAGTGCACAGGGCTTCAAAGCTGTATACGAAGGTAAGGCAATGTGTGATGGTACATATTGATGTATGAGTGCTGGTCGTGATGCACCGACAGTTTCTGAGGCGATAGTGATGAGAAATGATTCCGAAGTGATTGAAGTGATTCCTAATGACACAGTATTTATGGCAGGATGGTTGCAGTTGCTTGAGAGGGATGATCGGGTTGGAGCTGAGCGCAATATTTCACATTTGTGTTGCAGTTGCTTGGAATTAGGTGGTTTATTATTCAGGTTGTGTCGCATCATTTCCTTACTTCTAAAATCACCAATATTTGTCTCCGAATAATTCAGATGGTGTTAATCAGCAATAAGTTAGGTTTTAGTTTTTCTGTGTGTGTGAAGTCATAGCGCAGAAAAGTCAGCGACACTTCTTTTAATCAAAATGAGTTCGAACTTACAATACATGCAGACATTTCTATTGACTGAGGGTACAACGTTATGCCTTTCACCTACTTCTGATATAAGAGAGACTCTTCATAGTGATAGATGTGTGGGAGGCGCTTGGATCGCAGCCCAGAGCTGTTGTCTCGGTCCTCCCTCCATCAGTTGCGACTACCGTAACGTGTGCACTATATATACATATTCTGTGGTCACATATCAATGTGTCCTTTATTACTGTTTCTAAATTGCGAGGTCTGTATATATACAGTATATCGTTGATGTTCTGTTACTTCCTGGCTGCTTGTTGTTTTGCTGTGCCCTTACGTGTGTTTAACGTGGTAGACAAGACTGCTCCATGTGTGCGTGTCTGTTGGGATGTAACACAAATCCTCAGCCTGACCTTTTGAAGACACACACACACACACACACACACACACACACACACACACACACACACACACACACACACACACACACACACACACACACACACACACACACACACACACACACACACACACACACACACACACACACACACTGTACTACACACACACACACACACACACACACACACACACACACAAACATAGAGTGTTCCAAATCGCTTGCATAACAGTTCATCTATGATTCATGAACTTTAAATATCAAAGACAGGCTCACGAGACCAGATGTACACTCTTGCTCCCGTGTGTGCGTGTCTATGTTTGAGTGTGTGACATGTGTGCGTTTGTGTATGTTGGAAACAATCCTGACAGCCATTAAACCTTTTCCAGGATGTACCAAGAAGTACTTTGTCTTTATTTGTTTCTATCCATTGTTCCGTTTCATATCCGTGGGGAACCTTAAGTGTGTTTGTTGCCTCAGGAGTCACGGGTTGTGTGTGTGTGTGTGTGAGATAGATAGAGAGAGAGACAGAGAGAGAGAGATAGAGAGAGAGAGAGAGAGAGAGAGAGAGAGAGAGAGAGGAGGAGAGAGAGAGAAGAGAAGAGAGAGAGTAAGAGAGGAGAGAGAGAGAGAGGAGAGAAGAGGGACTGAGGAACAGAACTTTTGCTAATGTATTTTTTTCTGTCTCGCTTTGTTTGCATTGAATGTCCTAGACTTCAAACATTGATTCATGTCTGTGTGTGTATCTAGACAATATATTATATTGTGAATGCTTTTGTGTGTGTCTAATGAAAATGGCACTCATGCATCAAAACAAGGCATGACATTTATTAAATGTTTTGTTTTTCTGTGTATAAGAAATCAGTCATCAGTCACATCATCAGTCCTGGTATATGCTAGTTCCAGCCAACTGCTTAGCTGTCAACTTTATCCTATTTCCTGTGAGCATTACTGGAGTATTTTAAGTCAAGACAAATATGAAACAGAGAACATTGGAAACAATAAGGAAAATAAGTTGCTAGTCTCACTGCCTGGCATCTGACACAAACTGTGATATTGTGCTTACCAGAGATGGAGTACTCGAGTCCTGGACTCGGACTCGAGTCGGACTCGAGTGCCGATTTTCGGGACTCGTGACTCGACTCGGACTCCCGCACTGATTGACGCGACTCGGACTTGGACTCGTGAATTCTCGCGCACGATGACTTGGACTCGGACTCGGACTCGTGAATTATCGCGTACGCTGACTTGGACTCGGACTCGGACTCGTGAATTTTTCCCCCCATGATGACTCGGACTCTACTTGTACATTGACGCTCCGACTTGGACTCGGACTCGGACTCGAGCAAGTTTTCTATGGAGTCTGATGTCCTCTATCCTGGCGTGTGCACCGGCTGCGAGGCGAGTTCACGTACTGGGCCCCGCTATTCCAGTCTAAAGATGTCTAGATAAAAATATCTGGACAGCTAGTTACCGGCTGACAACGAGCCAAGTCAGAAACCACCGGTGTGTATCCGAAACTACGGTTTCGGTGCCGAGATACCGTCAGTATAAAAGGTAACACTAGAGACACACCCCGCATCGTGCTGTATGCTTTCACACATTCTGCTTCCACATTGGAAAAGAGCAGCGCAAAATGCTCTATGTGGAAACAATATTGAAGAGAAGGCTTCGTAACACATTACTCTAAACATCGAGTTCAGACATATAGGCTGTCTTGAACACTATCATCAGAGTAACGTCATCTAATCAATACATAAAGATTCAGCCGATAACACGAAAGCATATGGCTACTTAACATGCAGAATGACGTCATTTTGCATGCTAAGTAGCCATGTGCTTTCTGGGGCTAAATCTTTATCAGTAAACCGATTTAACCGGTAAAAGTTCCTTCAAAATAAGAGTCCCGATCTTATTACTATCAAAATAAAAGTGCAAAACGAAAACTTTACCATAGGAAAATATTGGCATACAAATATAATCACTTCTCTAAAAGGTAACTCATTTTAAACATAGTTTATATATAATAATAATATTAATATTAGTAATAAGCTTTATATTTGTATAGCACCTATTACAAGAATTGTAGCCAAACTGGCTTCACAGCAGTTCAATAGACAGATTAGTATAACATGACAGGATAAAAGCAATGTAGAGGAGCAGCTACATTTCAACACATATATCCATGAAGATTAATACATGAAGACTTGTGACTCGGACTTGACTTGGACTCTTCTTAGGTGACTCGGACTTGGACTCGGACTCGAACACAGGTAATGATGACTCGGACTCGGACTTGACTCGGACACTCCTTGGGTGACTCGGACTTGGACTCGGACTCGAACACAGGTAATGATGACTCGGACTCGGACTCGACTCGGACATTCCTTGGGTGACTCGGACTTGGACTCGGACTCGACTACGACTCTCCCTTGGTGACTCGGACTTGGACTCGGACTCGAAGAGTGGTGACTCGAGAGTGACTTGGACTCGTAAATTGGTGACTTGACTACAACACTGGTGCTTACACTATGCATCTGTTTTGTGTGCAACATGCATTCTAGATACAAAATTACACTTTGAGGCAAAGCTTATCTAGTTAAATTGTTTAAATGATTGGATTTCTCGAATGATAGATTGTCACCTTGATGACATTAGCATTATGAAAGTCTTGCTTTGGCTAATATAATGACATTTATCAAAAATGTAGTCGCATTTGTAACTCAACATCACATCAAATATTAATATAAACCTGCCAGACGATTTCTGAGAGATTTTATTCACTTAGACTTCAACCACACTTTAAAGATAGCACTCAAACATTCATGTCAACCAAGTCCACTAACGCCAGACCAGTCATGACTTTTTGACTTGTGAAACAAAAACTCTTCTCAGATGTTTGCTTATAGCCCAGAGCCTGACAGGGAATAGAAGTGATTTTAAGAAATGTAAAATCCTTCACTTCTGAATGCTTGTTATAGTCTGCAGAGTTAGAAGGGAAAAAGTTAGTTTTTACTAACTTCCAGGGAAAACAGCGGTGCCACATACGAGTGAGTGTCCTGAGTTGAATGTTTGATGTGATATATTTTTAGCAGTGTTCCTGTTCGATAACAGGAACGTTTTACTGGCTATCAACCTTTGTGCTCTTTTATTTGTCCTTTAACCTTTTTATCTGTTATGCTATGTAAAGCAGGAGACCTTGCACATTTCTTGAATACATTGCTTATGTGGATTGTGTGAAGAATTGATCATGAAAAAACGTGGGTCTTGATAGGTTACAGGGTCAGGAATTTGAATTTATAACCATTTAAGATCTGAAGTATTATCACATAGTACATTTTTATCCTCTCATGCCCAAACGCCCTCGCAGACTTGATAAGATGACGGCGAACACATCCCGATAAGACCAAAAGTCCAGAGGGCTCGGCCCTGAGGTCCAGGAGTTGGACATTAGGATTCAGTCATCCAATGTTGTAGTCTAAGTCGCCAAACTGACACTTTCCCTCAGCGCCTGTGAATTTGATATTTACCTTCACAGAAGACTGTTATTCATAGTTTTGTTCACCCTCTATTAAAACACATTTAAAAGCCTCCCGCGTTTTTACACTTATTTTGATCACGAGTTATCCTTGATGATGAAACATTCTCTGATTTTTTTTATAGCTCCTAAAACCATATCCCAAAACCTCTCCCTAGATTTCTGTTAATGCTTTGCTGTGACTTTCTTAAAAGGCTGTGTCTTTTTATTTTGGCTGTTGTCCCTGATGTCGATATGACTCTCATGCTGCATATAAATCTCCCTTTGGAATAGTTAAAAAAACACTAAAGGAATCACTCAACTGAAACATATGAGCTGATTTAGCCAATGAACTGTTTTGCAGTGAAAGACAAATATTCAGATATATTCTCTGTTTCTCCTCTCCCCACATTTTCTCGGCTTCTACTCATTTGAACTGATTCATACTAACAAAAAATCTATTTGGCCCTGTCTTTTTCACTGTCCTTAACAACCTCTCTCCCCTGTCTGTCTGCCAACTTCTCAATTTCTTTCCCTTTATTGAAGAAAACCATGGCGAGATCACTCTAAACACATAGCTAACTGATGAGAGAGAGAGAGAGAGAGAGAGAGAGAGAGAGAGAGAGAGAGAGAGAGAGAGAGAGAGAGAGAGAGAGAGAGAGAGAGAGAGAGAGAGAGAGAGAGAGAGAGAGAGAGAGAGAGAGAGAGAGA